TGATTCATCTTAGAGGCTCAATGGAGGCATAAGTTTATGGGTGGAAATATAGTTATGTCCTAATCACCTCTGACACAGTTCTGATGGCACAGTGGTTAAGTGCTTGAAAGACTGGTGGTTCAAACCCACCAGCCACTCTCCAGGAGAATGATGTGGCAGTCGGTTTTGTGAAGATTTAACTCTGTGAATCCAGTGGGGAAGTTCTACTTTTGTTCTATAGAGTTGCTGTGAATCCAAATTAAAATGGGTCTGCTTTTAATTATGCCCCCAGAATGGTCCATTTAGGAGGCTCATGGTGGTCTCCACATTCTTCCCCTTTATTCGGCTCCCTTAGACTGTCCAGGGAACCTCAGAGTGAGGCGTGGCAACAGCTTGGGCAGGAGGACTTACAGGGCCTGTCTTTGCCTAGGCTTCCCTCCTTGAGAGAATGAAGTAGAAAATACCACAAACCCTATCAACTTCCCCAAGATATAGCTTGTGCTGGCTCAAGGTTCATTCAAGAAGAATGTCTGTTTGTATTTTGTTGACTATGTGAAAGCATTTCACTGAGTGGATCATAACAGACTATGGATAACACTGAAAAGAATGGGAATCTCAGAACAATTATGTTCATACAAAACCGTTATTGTAGAATGACTATGAGAATCCAAGGAGCGGGAGAGTGGAAAAAGAGGGGTGAGGATGGGCGGGGGGTGATGTGTTCATCATAGAGGTGCACAATTTGATGGGTGGGGAATGAAGGAAATGGGAAGTATCTGTTATGAAAAATAATGTATTTAAACTTTGTAAGTAAATCAGTATAAAATATAAAAGAAAATAGAGAATGTGGAAAAAAAATTAAAAATAGAAGGGAAAAATACAAACCCTATACCTAAACTAAGAAGCTGTTGTCCAAATTGAACAAAGGAACACTTCATGGTTTAAAATCAGGAAAGGTATGTATCAAGATTGTATCCTTTCTTCACACCTATTGAATCTGTATACTGAACAAATCATTTGAGAAGCTGGACTATATGAAGAAGAATGTGGTATCAGAATAGAAAGAAGACCCATCAACAACCTGTGTTATGCAGATGACATAATGCTGCTTTCTGAAAGTGACGAGGACCTGAAATGCTTACTGTAGAAGGTCAAAGTCTTCAGCCTTCAATATGGATTGCATTTCAACATCAAGACAAAAAAAATCTTCACCACTAGACCAATAAGCAACATTGTTTTAGGTGGAGAAAAAGATTAAAATTGTTAATGATTTCATCTTACTTGAATCTATAGTCAATACCCTTGGGACCAATAGTCAGGAGATCAGGAGATGTATTGCACCGGGAAAGTCATTGTCAAGAAACTCTCCAAAGTACTGAGGGGCAATGATGTCCATTTGAAAACTAAAGTGCATCTGATTCAGACCATGGTCTTTTCAACCATTCACTGTATGTCAGAGAGCCAGACAATTAATAAGGATGACAAAAAAAGAGTTGATGACTTCGAGTTGTGGTGCTGGAGAATAACACTAGCTATCCCATAAACTGCCCCAAAACCAAACAGATGTCTTAGAAAAAGTGCAGCCAGAGTGTTCCTTAGAGGCTAGAATGACAAAACTTCGCCTCACATTCTCTGGGCATGTTGCTAAGAGAGACTGTTCCTTAGAAAGGGACATCATGCTAGGAAAGGTGGAGGGTTAGCAGAGGAGAGGAAGGCCCTCAATGAGATGGATTGACAATGACTGCAGCAATGGGTTCTGCTGAGTCAGAGATGATGAAGATGGCACAGGATAGGGCCGGGTTCAGATGTGTTGTTCATAGAGTTGTTATAAGTTGTACCCAACTCAACAGTACCTAACCACAACAATTATAAGCCCAATGTTAGTCCCCTCACCATTAAATGCCTCTGAGACAATGCTGGGAAGGAAACAGTGCCACTTGGTCAGCTCCCTTCTGATTCACAGCTGGCTATGTTTAATGAAGAAATGTCCAAAATGGCCCCTGGAAGATACAACCCTTCTGTGTCATGTCTTGTCCTCCTGAACCACAATATCCCCAGAAAAATTGAGACAAGCCTGGCAGAAGGAGGAGACGGTGGCTGAACTTCACCCCAGGATGGCCTCCCCTGGGACTCCTCTAACTGACCCACACGCTCCATAAGCTTCTGAGAGTGGGTGCCTGGTCCTCAGGTGCTCTATGGATCAGGTCTCCTGGGGCCTGGCACTTTGAGCAGTTGCTGTTTGTTGAGCAGAAGAGCACCTTGGGTTCTTCTACAGCCAGCCCTGAGGCTCGCTGAACTTGGGTCTTTTCCTTTGGAGAGGACTGAGGACAAGAGGGAGGTGGCCAGGGAGGTATCAGGGTTGGCACAGTCTGGGGCAACATGAGGGCACTGGGAAGAAGAACAAAGGAGGGCCTTCATCAGGTGAGAGGTGGCAAAGATCAACCTCTCCCTCCTTCGGATGGGTTCCAAATCACCCCCAGGACCTGGAGCACCATTTCCATGTCACAGACTGCAAGCACCCGACTGGAGACAGACCTCCACTGGAAGGGAGGCCAGGCAAAGTGAGGTTTGTTCATGTGGATATGCTTCATACATGTGCAGATAACCCCAGGTGTGCACATATGTGCACCAGGGGCTGCCATGTAAACCTGTGAACATGTGGTTGATATATACATCAGATAATAATTGATGTGTACCATGGGGTCTGAACTGACCCATAGCTGACCCTGGAGCAGATTTTCAGAGGCAGTTAGTCACATGAGAGGAGACTGTCCATCCTTCTCCTGCAGAGCAGCTGATGGACTCGAACCTCGTGCCTTCAGGATATCAGCACAGCTTCTTGCCCCTAGCCCACCAGAGCACCCTAAAAAATAAACAAATTGTCCTTTTGTGACTAAGATATTTCAGTCAACATAATGTCCTCCAGGGTCATCCACTGTGCATAATGCATAATATTTCATGAGTTCCTTGTTTTTCAATGCTGCATAGTATTCCATTGTTGTAAAAACGGAACTGACATCAGGGTTGAGGGAAGACAGAAAAGGAGGGGAGGAATGATGTATATTGCATTGAAACAGATGAGGGAGAGAACTATTTCAAAAGAATATATGAATGGGTATTCTTGTCATTGCAGAAGTCCAGAGTGAAGGCTGCATAGTGGAGTGGACTTGGGGGGAAGGGATTACATAACAATGAAAGAGTTTTTCTTTCTTTTCAAGGAGAAGAGTGAATGGGGGGAGAGGGGTTGGGTAGGGAAAAAAGTACAGCAATGACTGGAAACCCTAAGTCTCTGTAAACTTTCATTAAAATTAATTTTTTTAAAAAAATAAACAACTTATTGCCATCAAGTTGGGGTTTTTTTTGTATTTTTTAATTTTAATTGAGATTTTAACAAAAGTTTATAGAGAACTTGGATTTCCATTCATTCACTGTTGCAGTTCCCCCCCTCCTCCCCAGTCCACTTTGCCATGCACCTCTTATTATGGACTGTTGTCATGCAAATATTACCTAATCATATTATTTCTTTTAAACATCAAGTAGGTTTTGATTCATATAAACCCTTCATCAGGTTCCTGAGGCTGTAAATCCTGATGGGAGGAAACTGCCCATCTCTCTCCCACAGACCCTCTAGTGGCTTTAACTTTTTTAAGCTGAATGGCTAGCAATGCAACTGGCATGAGACTTAAAACCTCCAGAGCTCCCTAAACATATAGGCCATTTTGCCGTATATAAATGCACATATATCCTGACTTGGTTTGTACTGGTGAGCACAGAATGAGGAAGTGGGAAAGTCTCAAAACTTGCATTTAGGTAGAACTGGATCCCAACTCCTCCCTCCCCCGCCCCCCACTAGATAGCTCTGAGCTGAGTCAAATTTCTTAACCTTTTAAAGTTCCTTTTTCTTACATGTAAAAATTCAGTTGTCATAAAATTTTCTGAGGCAGATCGTGTATGGGCTCTGTCACAAAGCTTGGCATGTCTGTGGTTGAATCATGGAGTCGTACATCAGCCCCTGAAGGGCTACAAAGATGCCCCATCATCCAAGGGCACAAGTGTATAAACCATGTGCAGCTTCACAAAACCCCCTCAAACTCCTGTTCCCTCTTTAGAACAGGCATAATTGTTCTGTATCCCCCCAGCCCGGGATATCAGATGGAGCTGGAAAAATAACGTATGAAAAGATGTGTGTGAAAACTGAGGGTTGCCATGAAACAAGACATTCATTACCGTGAAGAGCCAGCTGGTTCTCGGACTCAAACACGACCCCTCACCAAGTGGCAGAGCTCAGACCCGCCACCAGGTGGCAGCCTTGTGGAGTTGGAGGGACGATCCCCCTTCAAGTCTACCTCCCCTGTACCCACAATTAGTGCAGCTCTCTCCTCTCATCTGAGGGGACCGGAGCTGCGTGCACCCCACGAGGGTGAGTTTCACTGACATGTAGAGTCTGATGGCTCTCTCACCTGAAAGAAGGAGGGGAAAGGGTGGTCACCTGTGTAAGGAGTCACTTGTTAGGTTTTTACTTTACAAAGGTACACATGCACAGATGGACAGGGTGAGAGGGAGAGTTTTTATTCCACGAACAGAAGTGGCCACCTCTGCTTTAAGAGGACAGAGACTCAGCACCTCCTTGTTGTCAATCTATGCAGCTTCACCACTGCCCATGGGCTGTGCCTTCCATCCATCCTTTCATTGTCAAATGTGAGCTGCTTACGGAAAAAAAGGGCAAAACGTGCCCACTTCTGGATGCCTGTTATCCAGAAGAGCCTTTGTATTTCCTTTTCATTTTAAGCAAGAGTTAAGAAAACCAAGGATAACCAAAGGCTGAGAAGGCCCTACCTTACGTCTAAGTCAGGGATTGAAGTATTGGGGTCACAACTGAGCCTGGGACCCTGTCTCCCCTGGTGGCCAGCCAGCCTGTCTGTGGCTAGGCCCTGCTGGCCTTGCCCTGCTCCCAGCCCGATGCTGAGCAGGCCCTTTGCTCAAGAGTTCCTTGATCTTCTCTGACCCCTTGAATTCTTCAGGAACCGAGTTGGCGAATGCAGTTGCCAGGTGTCGCTGATGCTGGAGAACAGCCCAGCCAGAGCCCCTGCATGGTGAGCCCCCCCGCCAAACGATAGGAGCTATCCACCAGGAGCCCCCACCCACCAACCATCCACCTTTCTCCAACCACCCCTCCTTCTCCTGGCCCCTGCAAGCCCAGCCTCGGCCCCAGATTGTTTGTCTCCTTAAGCCAGAAGTGATCAGAGCCAAGAGGGAGAGATTGAAAAGGGGGTGAAGGAGGGAGTGGGAAGGGGGGGTGAATTTTTTTTTTTTTGCACACACCCTTATAAGGCTACTGAAGTCATTACCGATGTAATAGCCCAACTAAGCGAGCAAGCTCCTCTCACCAATGTTCCCTTCTATAAACACAGTCTGGCCAGCCCCCTCTCCTCTTCCCCCTCCTCCCCCCTGCCCTCCCCCCCTCAGGGATTTGCTCTCCCCTGACGTTGCTGTCTTTACCCAGCCCCTTTTCTTCCTGCTACTTTCCTTTTTTCCTTCACTGGTTGCAGGGGGAGGGAGCCTGCCAGCTGTGGTGCAGATGGTAGTGGTGGTGGTGACTGCTATGGACCCCTGAGGCCAGCGAGAGGAGGGCAGGGCTGGCCAGAGGAGGAGGACAGTGAGGACGTGCGGGGGGTGCTGAAGAGGCGCGTGGAGACGCGGCAGCACACGGAGGAGGCCATCCGACAGCAGGAGGTGGAGCAGCTGGACTTCCGTGACCTCTTAGGGAAGAAGGTTAGTACCAGGACTGTGTCAGAAGACGACCTGAAGGAGATCCCAGCCGAGCAGATGGATTTCCGCGCCAACCTGCAGCGGCAGGTGAAGCCAAAGACCGTGTCCGAGGAAGAGAGGAAGGTGCACAGTCCCCAACAGGTGGACTTCCGCTCGGTCTTGGCCAAGAAGGGGACACCCAAGACTCCAGTACCTGAGAAGGTGCCACCTCCCAAACCTGCCACCCCAGATTTCCGCTCGGTGCTGGGCAGCAAGAAGAAATTGCCAGCAGAGAATGGTGGCAGTGGTGCTGAAAACTTGAATGCTAAAGGAGTGGACAGCCCCAAGCCAGTGGGCAATGCACAGCCCGCAGAAACCCTGAAACCCATGGGCAATGCCAAGCCAGCCGAGATCCTGAAACCTGTGGGCAATGCCAAGCCAGCCGAGATCCTGAAACCTGTGGGCAATGCCAAGCCAGCCGAGACCCTGAAGTCTGTGGGCAATGCCAAGCCAGCCGAGACCCTGAAACCTGTGGGTAATGCCAAGCTAACCGAGACCCTGAAGTCTGTGGGCAATGCCAAGCCAGCCGAGGCCCTGAAACCTGTGGGCAATGCCAAGCCAGCCGAGACCCTGAAACCTGTGGGTAATGCCAAGCCAGCCGAGACCGCCAAATCTCTGGTCAACATCAAGCCAGCCGAGACCCTGAAACCTGTGGGAAATGCCAAGCCAGCCGAGACCGCCAAATCTCTGGTCAACGCTAAGCCTGCTGAGATCCTAAAACCCGTGGACAATGCCAAACCTGCTGAGACGCTGAAAGCTGTGGGCAATGCCAAGCCAACCGAGACCCCAAAATCTCTGGCAAACGCCAAGCCAGCCACAACGCCAACACCAGGTGGGAAAGAAGACCTCAAGGAGGATGTTAAGAATGACGTGATGTGTAAGAAGGGGCACACAGTGGCCTCAGAGAGCGAGAAACGACCAGAGAGCCATGGGGCAGCCCCAACCTTCAAGGAGAAGCTGCAGGACATCCATGTGGCAGAGGGTGAGAAGCTGCTCCTCCAGTGCCAGGTGACCTCTGACCCCCCGGCCACCATCACCTGGACGCTGAATGGAAAGACACTCAAGACCACCAGGTTCATCATCCTCTCCCAAGAAGGTAAATGAGGGCCTGTGTGGGGGAGGAGGGGTTCTGTCAGGCCGTGGAGCTTTCTCCGGTCCTCTTGATGGCTCCTCGTGGCTTGGGGTGAAGTGCCTGGCTTCACTTCCTCCCTTGCCCACAGGAGAGATAGACCACCACTATCCCCAGGCCCAGGAACTTAGAGACCCTAGCTGGGTGGCCTTGGAAACAGAAGGCGGGCTCGGCTCCTGGGAGTCCGAATTGACTCAGTGGCAGTGAGTGAGGGAATGGAGTGAGTGCCTTGGAAACATAGTCTGTTCCTGCAGTTGGAGACAGGAGTCTGGTCCTGGTGACACACGTGCACATCCTTGGCATTGTCTGGTGGAGCCAGGGGCTCCCCCACCTGTGGCTCCTCAGAGTAGCCTTGGGCCTGAGCTGATACTGACAGCATGGATAGACCTGTTTGCAGATTTGGAAACTGCTGGTCACGGTAGCCAGGGCCCAAATGTGGGCTCTGAGCTGAGAGCTGCTTAAAGCAGCGTCTTCAGTTTGGGGAAGGATGAGCAGTGACAGGGTGGCATGGACTGTAATTTGGGGCCAAGAGTAATTTAGGGTCAACAGTCTTGATAGCACTGTGGGTTTGGCAAGACCAGGCAGGGAAGCCGGCAGTCCAAAACAGCCCCTCCAGGGCTCACTCACAGGCCGATGAGCTGCTCGCTTCCTAATTTGGATGAGACTTTTGTTTGTTGGTATTTCACATTCTTAGGTGGTGGGAAGAAGGGGGAGCTCTAGATCATGCTGTCTGTGGCCTTTCGGGGTACAGAGTTCTCACAGGGGCCAGTTTATACCTGGAGAAGTGGCAGAGATGAAAAGGATACTTTCCTTGGGCCTTCAACTTAGTTCAAAGTGTTTATGTAAACCTCAGACCTGGGGGGGCACTCTCAGGCCAGCAGACATTCAACAGACACCCCATTCTAGAGGCCAGCATGGGGCTAGGTCACAGAGCTAGGACAGAGTCCTGGCTGGGCCTGAGGCTGATGCTGGTGGCTCTGGACAGCAGGGTTCAAGGCAGCTTCCGGGAAGTGGCATTTTACCGTTGGTGGGCAGAGGGCAGCCATGATAGAGCAGGAGTGGGCAGGTCCTGGACAAGTCCAAACCGACTGAGACTTCTGAACCCCTCACTCCCCCACCGTGAGTACACCTCATCCTCCCCTGCTCCCTCCCTGGACCTCAGAGTGAATCTTTCCTCATAAATACTGGAGTGGACCTTCTGAAGACATTTCTCCCCTCAGCTCCTAGTGAAGTTTCATGCTGCACCTCAGACAGTAACTCTGGAGCCCTGAGCCTTTCAAACCTAAGTACTGTAGTAGGAAAGGGGAAATTGGCCAGCAAAGAGAAAACTATTTTCTTTTTTTGCTAATAGGTTGTCACCTAACCTGTTCATAGGATGTTTCTGGATTGGCTGACCCTCCAGATGTCATCCTACGCACCTCCCTGCCTCTGCTAGCTTGGCCTTCCTGAGGCCCACTCAGAATGAGCCTTGAGGGGAGGGCTACCATGCTGGGCTGAGATGTCCAAGGAGACTGGCTGTCACAGACTGCTCTGTCATTCCTTATGGGACCCTTTCAGGTGGAAAGCCCTTATCAAACTGATCTCAGACCCTGTCCAGAAAGAAGCATTTCCCACCATACCTCCTGGTGGTCTTTCTGGACAGAATGGAGGATGGGCACTGTTATCCTGGGAAGATGTGCAGCCCCACAGACCTGCACAAAGTGAGGTGGTGTCAGTCCATGGAGACAACTGCAGGACAGCTCCCCAAAATGAGCAGCTGCACTGAGACCTGCATGGGGTTTAACCCCAGAGCCTTGAACGGCCACTTCAAACAATCTACTCAGCTGAGTGATGTCAGGTAGGCCCCAGCCCTGGTAGAAACTCCTCTTCACCAACTTTCCCCCCAGAACCCTGGGAGCCTGTTTTATCTGCTCTTCCTTGAATATTAAAGCACATAGAGATCCCAACTACTCCATCATTACCTGTCAAGGAAACCACATCACAGAGATGGTGTAAAGCAGGGGAAGAAGAAAAGGTTACAGGAAAGGTCGTCACAAGACGTAGAGAACAGAAGGGCAACTGAGGGCGTTCATGAGACAGTCTCCATCCATATTTACAAAAATACTCTAGATTCTTTTTCAAGCTAATTTTAAAACTAAGAATAGCTTGCCTTTCACTGAACCGTATGCCCTAGACAGCTTACCCTCCTCAGCCTCAAGCCCTCACAAATACTTAAGTGCCCATATCACAGGGGGTGTTAAGTACTGTCTTCACGGTTGTGCAGCTCGTGGGCAGCAGAGCTGGGATTTGAATGCAGGCAGAAGCCTAGACCAGTGTGCCAGGATGTGTCTACTTAATCTCTATTGAAATGTCAAAAGACTGGTAGCCCTAAGCAATCTGTAATGATAAGCTCCTGAAGAGCATTATCAAAGGCAAATGCTTGGAGCTACTAACTCTGTACTAACACGATTACCAGTTGTCAAAAGAGACTGGTGGTACCCCTGCCTCATCAGGTGCTCGGTATTTTCAGTACAGTGGAGGAAGTGGACTTTGAAAGGACCTGTCTGATCTTGCTACACTATGGGAGAGTGCCTTGCTCAAAATACCAACCCCATCTCTGTACCTTCTCTATCACTTCACTGCCCTCCACACCTTCACACAGGAACCCTAAGAGAAAGCCTGTCCTTAGCCCTTATCAGTTACCACTTCAGCAGATGCAAGGCTTTCCTGAGAGGTGAGAGGGGCTCTCATCTCCATAGACCTGGAAAAAGAGGACACGTGTTCATGGTGATAAAACTGCACCAGCCAAGTGTCGATGAGTCAGGATGTGCTGCCACAAATAGGAGAAAGAGTTGTGTGCAGGGTCACTGGGGAAGGTTGGCGGTGAAAGAGCCAGACCGGGAGCTGCACTTGAAGCCCAACTAGGGTCTGAGACTAGCAGAGGCTGTGAAGGTCTGGGTCCCAAGCAGCGGAGGGAGACCAGCAGAGATCCAGGATGTAGGCCTGCTCTGACCTGAGGAACAGAAGAGGAACGTACGACCAGAGTTTATCATAAGCTATGCTTAGACACTCAGTTTTGAAGACACTAGGCTACTGTATGCACAAAACTGGCTTTAAGGGTTTTGATTGACTCTATATCCAAGACATGGATGGTGAAGAGATTAAGATAGTTAGCAGGTTTCATTTGCTTGACTCCACAGTCAACACTCTTGGTATCAGCAGCCAAGAAATCAAGAGACGAATTGCATTGGGAAAGTCATCTGTCAGGGAACTCTCAAGAGTACTGAAGAGCAACGACATCAGGCTGGAGACTAAGGTGCGCCTGATCCGAGCTATAGTCTTCGCTATCCCTTGTTATGCGTCAGAGAGTTGGACAGTGACAAGGGATGATAGAAAGAGAATTGATCCCTTTTGAGCTGTGACGCTGGAAAAGAGTATTGACTATACCATGGACTGCTAGGAGAACAAACAGGTTTGTCCTGGAGAAGGTGAAGCCAGAATGCTCCTTGGAGTCAAGGACTCTGAAGCGTCATCTGACATACTTTGGGCATGTTGCAAGGAGGGACTGGTCCTTGGAGAGGGACATTATGTTTGGGAGATTAGAGGGACGGCGCAGGAGAGGAAGACCCTTGAGATGGATCGATTCTGTGATTGAGGTGGTGGGAGTGAGTGTGTCGGAGACGGTGAGGTTAGCACATGATAGAGCAGGGTTTAGGGCTCTTGTACATAGGGCCGCTATGAACAACATATCCAAGACACTGTTAAGAAAGTGAAAGAGAAATAGGGTGAGAGTAGCCTAGAAGACAGATGGGAAAGAACCAGTTGAAGAGGCTCTCAAAAACTCATGACCATGAAGTCAGAACTGACTCCTAGCTTACCTTCCAGAAGGTTTTCAGAGGCAGTAACGTCCATGAGACACTGTCCAGCTTTCTCCCATGGAGCAGCTGGTAGATTCAAACCACCTGCCTCTGGGTTGACAGCACAGCTCCCTATCCACGGGGTCACTAGGGTTTAAGTAAGAATTGTCCTTAGAAGGGCCTCACAAAGAGGTGGGGTGGAAGAAAGAAGAAGAAATGGAAGTGCACCAAGTGTTGGCGTCTGGTGCCACAGACACAGTGATAGTGTTGGTGGGAAACGAAATAAGATGGTTTGAAGTGGTTTGTAGAGGAGGCTGAGGCAATCCACCCAGCACCCTCCTCCGGGTGGCCTGCCTTCTGGACCTGGAATCCTTGCTCCGCAGAGCCCTGTGCTATTCCCCTTCTAAGGTCAATGTTCACCTCCTTGTGCTCACCTGCTCCTGTGTGCACCTCCTGCTGGTCGAGTCTAGTGTTCCGGTTTCCGGGACACTTAGCTGTAGCTGAAGTTAGGCTCACCGTCTGCAGGTTCCCTGACACAGGAAGACTTCTCTGTCTCATTGAGTACCAGGGAGAGCGAGATAAGGGATCCAACTGCAGTGGATTGGCATGGGCTGTAGTTCTCAGAGGGACAGATGGACTTGTGGGGGCGGCATCCTCTTCCTGCATCTTCCCCTAGCTGCAGGGTACACAGTGCACCATGTGCCTGTGGGGCTGTCCTGCCATCCGAGGATGGACACCTCGTCCACCACCTGGGAGTCTGGGCTCTTCAGTCTTGGCTTGGGTGAGATGCAGTTGTTACTTGAGCCAAGAATGGCTCCCCTAGCACTAAAATTCTGTTCTCCTGACAGGAGCTTATATCATTTTTTTTATTATTATTAAATTTTATTAGTTTTAATGAACATTTACAGGGATTTTGGGTTTTCATTCCTTCATTGCTGCACCATTCTCTCTACCCTCCTCCCCAGTTTGTTCTTCTTCCCCGCCATCCGAATGTGTGTTTTAATTGTCCAATTGCCACAGTGCTTGTCAAAGTCAGTTCTGATTAATCTCCTTTGTCGGTGTGTCCTTTGCCATTCCCTATCACTCCTCCCTGAGAGAGACTTCACCCTGATTCATAAGGAAAAGGGGATGGCGTATTCTCTTAGCTACTTCCTGCTGAAAAGGGACGCTGTGGGTTTCAGGGTGAAGAGCTTCTCTCACTACTCTAAAGGGCCCCTTTGGCAGTAGGAAACACATAGACTATTATGGAGATTGATTTTGGAATTTAGATGCACTCTTACTGATTGTGCTTGGCCGTACATGTTCATATCCTTGAAGATGTACCATGGGGGTGTTGCAACCTAGAAGACACAAATTTGACTAACAAGTTATAAGTACATGAGTCAAAAATTATGGAAAAGTAAAAGAAAGGATTCTTTCATTGTTTTACAAACCCTCCCCCAGGTCCCCTCCACCATGTAGCCCTCGCTCTAGACTCCTGTGATGACAGAAATACCCAGTTATATATCTCTTTTAAACAGTTTTCTCCCTCCTCTGTTTCAGTGCAGTATACATTATTGAACCCATCTTACTCACCCCGAGGTTAGTCCCATTCTACAACAGTGGCATCATGTAATATTTGTCCTTTTGTGACTGGGATATTTCACTCAGCATAATGTTCTCCAGAGTCAACCATTTTGAATAATATTGCATGAGTTCCTTGTTTTTTAATGCAGCATAGTATTCCACTGTGCGAATATACCACAGCTTCTCTAGCCATTCGTTTGTTGATGGAGGAGCTTATATCATGATGCCTCATTTCCTTGTCTCTAAGCCAGGCTCCATCCACTCCTTGACAAAACATGCCTCACAATCTAATAATGGGGATCCATTGTTGTTGTTGTCAACTGATTATTCATTTTTAATTGCCTTCCTGTGGAATCTTGTGAGCCATTTAAAAAAAAAAGTGAAAAACAAAGCTTACAGAAGTTCATCCCCTAAAACACCAGGCATATACTTACTGTGTGAGATGCTAGTCCAGTCCCTTGAGCTCTGTACATAAACCACTTAAAGAACTGTTGCTATTAGGCACCATCGAGGTGGTTCGTAGCTGCCCTCTGACAGCAGCTCTGAGCCTTGCCCTGGCCTGCTCCGGTCCACTGGGGTGGTACTCACTTGGAGGGTGCTCCTCTCTTCCACTGACCCCCCACCTTTCCCACCTTTCTCTCTTCAAGGGCTGATTCCTCCTGAAAATATACCCAAAGTTACTAGAGAAATAGGAATTCTGTTTTCTTCTCAGAAACTGTGTTCTCTTTTCCAACATTCGGTTGTATTCTATTAAAATGTTCCTGACCTTTTCTTGCACAGACACTCTGTCAAATCACCTGCTACAGAAATGGACCTTTGTCAGTCTCGGAATAGCAAATATTTATCTTACTGTGACTACATTCCAGGCTCAGGAAAGACATTCATTTGTACCAGAAATGGTCACTGTCCCCAGCGCGTGCGCGTGGGAGACAAGCGTGTGTGGCACCCATGGTCTTGTGAGAAGCGCTGTGGTGGAGAGGAGCTCAGGGGGACCTGAGAGCATGGAAGAGGCCAACCAGAGCTGGGAGATTTAGAGGGGGTGCTCAGGAAGGCACCACCCCTAAAGGCAGCAGCATCCCGATTGGGAAGGAGCTGCCATGTTGGGCTGGGGCTGCCAGCAGGACCAGGTCAAAACTTCTGCTTGAAAGCAGCCTTGGGGCAGAGTCTCTGGAGCTTTAAGCTGCTGCCTCCACCACTCCATCCTCTTTCTCCCCTCTCTGTACACACTCAGGAAAGAAGAAAGACAGGGGAGACATCAGACGAGACATGAGACTTTGGAACACTGGCTGGCTGGCCTAGCCAAGCTGTTCATTGAGTCCCTTGTTCTGTTGTGCCTTCTCCCATCCCCCAAGGCTTCCCTCTCAAAATTCCCCACCAAGCTGAGGCCTCTTTAAAAAAAATTGCTGGGAAACGTTTTTTCTTCTTGAGGTCAGGAATGAACTATCCCACAGGAAATGCCAGATTCTTCATCTGGGGTAGCTGAGCCTTGGAGCCTGCCTGCGGCCCCCTCCCTCAGCCCACGCCTCAGGCCAGGGGTCCTGGCTTGTGCCGCTTGGAAAAGTCCTGCTAGACCTGGAGTGGGTGGGGAAGGGGTGCTGCCATCCAGATGCCCCACTTCTGGTAGCCTCATTGCTGCCTTCGTGGAGTGGGGTTTTGTTATGTTGGTTTAAGTCTAAAAGCAGCTGAAGAGGGGGTCATGAAACTGAAAGCAAAAGGATGTGGACCGGATGTTTGTTGTGAGTGGGGTATCTGCTCCCAGAGCCATTGCCCCAGACTGAGGAAAAGGGGCACGGAGGGGTCAGCTGCCTCTAAGTCTTGAGTTTGGACACAGAAATCTCATTACTCAACTGTTCTCTTAAGATGGATAGAAATTTTTTTCTCCTGAAAATACTTATCCCATCCCCCTACACCTCTGCCCAAAGTCTGACTTTCATGACAAACTGCTAGGAAATCTGACCTGAAGACTATGTGACATAGGGGACCCTGTGCACCCCAGACCCGCCCACTGCCCAAGGGAAACACAGGACACCCTTCCCTGAGGAGTGGGACCAACTGTTGTTGAGAACAGTACGCAGCAAAACACACGCCAGTGCCCAACAACCTCTACACTGGTTATCTTCTTCAAATTGTGCAGCTCTTCTCACCCTCCTTTTCTAAGTAGCTCCTCCCCTGTTGACATGAGCCCCCTCCTTCTCCCTCCCTCTCCATATGCTGCTTTCTGTCTGTCCTTTCGAGTTGCTGTGGTCAGTTAGATGCTTCAAGATGGCTGTTGCTATTATGTGCCATTGAGTTGACTCCAACCCACTGCGACCTTGTGGCTAACAGATCCATGAGCACAGTGCCCGGAAGAGTAGAGTCGTATAAAATAAAGAATGCTGGAGTGGGGAGAGGGGCGCATCAGCCCAGAGTCATTTGTAGGACTAAGGTTGTCTAGTTTCAAACATGACCCAGGTGTCAAAAAATGTAAAGGAACCTTGACTTTGTTTCACCTCAGTGAGACTCTGGCAGTGTTGATAGATCCTTCTTCTTCTGGAGATGTTGTGTATTTGATGGTCAAGTCTGTGACTGGCTTTGGGCGGAGCAGTGGCCGTGCTTTCTGAGATCAGAGGACCTTTTGGGCATGAGCCTCTTCTCGGGCCATCCTGGCCTCACGGATGCACCCGTGACCCACACAGCTCTGCCTCCCTGTGCTTCTGCCGCGGGTGGAGGGGTTACAGCTTTGTGGGGCAGGTTGACTGAAGCCGGGGACTGCAGACAGCAGGATCCATGTGCCTGTGGCTCTGGAGATCCCCTGCTTTTTGTGTAGCTGACACAATAGGGGCAGCTGTGGGCAGGACGTCAGATGTTGGCTTGTTTGTGTTCTCTGAAGTCAGGAACTCAGAGACGCCTGACCTTGTGCCTCAGCCACGAGGCAGTGTCCTGTGCTGGGCTGTCCTCATACCCTGACTGGAATCTCCTGCCCTAGAGTGCCCTGGATTGTTAAGAAATAGCCAGTTTGGGGTAAGGCACTAGGATGGGCAAGGGACAGGCACAGGTCCTCAGTGTTCCCAGAATGATTGCTCTTCCCCAGCCAGACCAGGACAGATATGCTGGGGCCAGGGCGATCCACACAGAAGTCCATGGAGAAAGCTGCTCCCATCCTCTCTGAGGTGACATGAGGGAGGCCCCAAGGTGCCCTGGCCCACATCCCTGCTTGGCATGATTCTTCAGCTCACACACCTTTCCTGAAGCCAGCTCTGGCTCTCTGGGTATGTATCACCTTTCTCTTCCAGCAGATTTTCCCAGAGGCCACTGCCCCGGCTGGCTCACAGTTCTGTTTGACAAGAAGCTTTCCCAGAGGCACCCTGGAAGCTGGGCAGAGTCCTCTCAGCTGCCCCTGCACCTAACAGGTCTACAAACCTGTGCCTCGTGCTTTCTCTCCCCAGTAACACCTAGTGTGGGTCCTGGATCCGTCTGAAATTGTGTCGTATCAGATGCTGCATTAGGGACCCTGGTGGTGTAGTGTGTTGAATACTAGGCTGCAAAACACAAGGTTTGTAGTTCAAACCCACCAGCTGCTCTGTGATGAGGCAGCCTGTTTGTCTGTAAATATTTCCTTCCTCAGAAGCTCAGCAGAAAGTTGTCATGAATCAGGATCCTCCTGATGCAGTTGGTTTGGGTTTTGGTAGAGATGCAGACTCTTTTTCTCACTTCTGTGCATTTCTTTGATGTCTTATGTAAGAAGCCTCTTTAGAAGGGAGGGCTTCAGGAGAGGGCATATTTAAAAATCTATGTTGGACGTGGGCTGTCAGCAGGAACAGCCCTGGCATTGGTGGACAGAGGGGCTTGATTGCCACAGGATCTTTGTCTCTGGGGCATCAAGAATTGGGTGCCCCTGTCCCCGTTGCTTGAGGGGAATCGGTCTGCTCAACAAGTCTTCTCTCCTTCCCAGGCTCACTGTGCTCCGTGTCTATCGAGAAGGCCCTGCCCGAGGACAGAGGCTTATACAAGTGTGTGGCCAAGAACAGCGCCGGCCAGGCTGAGTGCTCCTGCCAAGTCACCGTGGACGGTAGGTGAAGCCCACCCATCACACACACACACACACACACACACCGTTTCTCAGCCCCTTCCTGGCCCACCACAGCTAATAGTACTATACCCAAGACTGCCTCTCTGTCTGAAGACTTTCATTTTATGGATACCAAACAATCTTGAACAAAAACGAGACAGGAAGGAAAAGGAATACTTGACTTGATCACCCCCTGAGGCCTCGAGGAGCTGGTCACCTTATCACCCCTCATTCAATCTTTACACCCCCACAAACATGCAGAACCTTGCTGAGCTGAGCAGGCAGCCAGGGCACAGGGCAGAAGAACAAAAGGCACACCCACAGGAAAAGGACTAAAAAGTATACTACAAGCTGCACCAAGCGAGTGTCAACACTGGCAGGATAAAGCCCAAGTTCGTCCTGAGGGCTGGTGAAGAGCAAGGAGAGTGGGGTCCATGTGGGGAGACTTTCTCCAGAAGGTGAGCTGGGCTGAGGCGTCAGGTCGAGGGGACAGGGCCTGTGCCGGATGGAGAGGTGATAATAACTCATCTGAGAGAGGGGTGGACCGCGGGAGAAGAGCCAGGCTGCCAGGATGGAGTGGAGTTTCCACCTTGGGAAGGGGCACCCTCAAGCTGTGAGGAATTTGGAGTGGTCATAAAAAAACACAACTAGATTCTTTCCAAGTTCTGCCCACGTGGGATTCAGAATTAAAGACTTGGACATAGAAAGAACCTTGCTTGAGATAATTTGGACGAACACCCTCATTTTACAGACGAGAGAGGTGAGGCCACCCAGAGGGGACATGTTTCTGTCCATTTAGGGCAGATCCAGGGCCAGAGCCCTGTCTAAGGACTCCCAACCCACTGTCCTTCCTTTTTATTTTTGTGCTTGCCTAGAACTGTCTAAAAGGGAGTTTAGGGAAAACAATTTATTGCCCTTGAAATGCCTGGTTAATAACCATTAGTGACATATTAAAAACTAGTGTCCAAATAAGGCATCTCTGGGATCAGCTTTGTTGTTCTCCTGACTTGGGAACGTGACTGCTGGCGTTCTAACCTGTTTCACTGTCATTACAAGAGCTACAACAGCTTTTGTCCCCATTCTGAATGCTCTAATAAAATTTCCTGACTAGAAGGAAAGCTGAGGCTTTTTATTATAACGAAGGAGGGGGAGGAACTATTAAAAATATCTTTTGGGACTTAGGGGCAAGAAGATCAATGGCAGTGTGAACTAAATAGTTACCAGCCAGCAGGAAAGCTGAGGTGGTTGTTGGGGGTGTGTGTCCTTTTAGTCACATGAGTCACAGGACAGATCTGACAGGTTTGCAACCATTTCAGAGAGGGGCTTGAGACACAAATTTTTTTTTTATTAATACTAATTTGTTTACAAAAGTTGAATACACTGTTTTTCACAAGAGATTTTTTCCAATTTCCCTCACCCCCCCCACAACCGCATGATTAATCCCCCACTACACATCCTCATCCCTCTGCTTCCACACACCCCCACCTTGTATCTTCATATTCATTCAACAATAATGGTTTTATAGATTTGTCCTTGTGGGACTGAGTTAGTTCACTCAGCATAATGCTCTCCAGTCCCTCCCAAGTTAGGTAATAATTTACAATATCATTGCTCCTGCATGCTGTGTAGTATTCCATTGTGTGAATGTACCATAATTTCTCAAATCCATTTGACTGTGGTTGGACATCTGGGCTGTTTCCATGTTCTTGCGATGGTGAATAATGTTGCTATGAACAATGGTCTACAAGTCTCCATTTTTGCCTCATTTTCTTAGGGTATATTCCAAGCAGTAGGATAGCTGGGTCATATGGAATTTCCATGTTCAGCTTTTTGAAGAAGCATCAAATTTCCTTCCAGAGTGGTTGTACCATTTTACAGTCCCACCAACAGTGTATAAGAGTTCCTATCTCACCACTGTCAAACTGCCACTACTACTGGAGTGAGATGGTACCTCATTGTGATTTTGATTTGCATCTCTCTAATTGCCAGTGATTTGGAGCTTTTCTTCATGGAGACACAAATTTTTGAGGCTGGAGGAAAGGAGAGGGGTTGCTGCTGATGACTTCTGGGTCCCTGTTCACCTGGGCTGCCACCTCGCTGCCCCACGTACCCGTTAGGTCCTGTTGCTCTCTACGCAGGGCTGCTGATTTTTTTCCAAAGATCCTGTCGCTCTTTTCTTGTAGTTGTTGTGAGGTGCTGTCCAGTCAGCTGTGTCTCATGGCAGCCCTGTGAACAACAGATCCGACCCCTGTCCTATCCTGTGCCGTCCTCGTCATCTCTGACACACTCGCGTCCATTGGCTGCAGTCACTGTGTCGATCCTTCTTGGTGAGGAGCTTCCTCTCCAAACCATAGAGTCAGTTGTAGCTCACAGCCACCCTTTATTGAATCCCTAAGACTGTAAATATTAACTGAGTTGATGGCTGTCTTTCTCCTTAAGGAGTTGCCTCTAGTGGATTCTAGTCATCACCACCCTGATAGCAGCCCAACCTATATGCTAATAAGGTGATCGCTTCAGGCCCTCAGCCTCTTGTTTTATCTTCCTGGCTGGCTGGAGGCAGGAGGGCTATTCATTCTCCTTATAAGCGAGATTTCAGCACTTTTTGAGAAACAGCAAATGGTTTGTTTATAAAACCCAAAACTTTGTTTTCAAAATGAAATTTACTTTCCCTCTACAAAAGACATTTGAGGATTCTTTCTTTCCTTTCTTCTTTACATTTTTTTGGACTTTATTATAGGACTTATGGGACTTTGTTTTCCCAGATGGTCTTCCTCTGGTAGATTCCCTTGCTCTCCTAACTAATCTTAATATCCATCATTATTTACCTCTGGTTCCTTCCAAGAGGCCTGGGGGTTGGGGTGGGGAATGGGAGGTGCTGGCCTCAGGCTCCAAATTTAGAGTCTTGATGATGAAGGCAGACCAGCTGAGATAACAGAACCAACTCCCAGTTAACTAGGATTTGGGTTGTTTAGTGTATTCTAAGAGAGCTCTGGTGGCCTGCTGGTAAGAATCTCCGCTGCAATCCCAAAGGCAGTCATTTTGAATCCTCCAGCTGCTCTGCGGGAGAAGGATGGGCAATTTCCTTCCATGAGATGACTGCCTCTGAGAACCCTCCAGAGGGTCAGCTATGGGTGGGTTCAGACTCCATGGTACACAACAGTGTATTCAAACGACAACAAGAACCCCTCTACCCTAATTCTGTTCCCTGTGGTAGTTTATTAGCGCCCTGCGTGATAAATGGACTTCTCGTCACACTTAACTTTATTCCTTCATCAAGAGCCAACTACAGGCAAATAATAAAGAACTAGGGAGCTCTGGTAGCCTAGAGGGTAAGGAGTTACGCTGCTACTCCAAAGGCAGGCGGTTCAAATCCACCAGCCCCTCTGAGGGGAAAGGATGAGCAGTCTCCTCCAGTGTGATTTCCAGCCTCTAGAAGCCCGCTGGAAGGTCAGCTGTGAGTTGGTTGGGACTTGATGGCATCAATCAACATACAGGCTTGTTAACTGGTCCTCTTCACCCTTCAGGACCACTGGCCTCCTGGGTGGGCCCCACTGGGCTGTGTGAGGTTCTTGTCCTCTCAGGTTCTCCTGATCCCCCCAGACAACAATACCGAACTTGGAGATCCCAGTGGGTCTGTGTGTGCCTGGATCTTTGACATGATCAGCAGCGTCCACGTGTGTGTGCTTTACAGCATTTTTCTGAAGAGAGGATCCATGAGCTGTAATCACATTTCTCTAGTGGACGACGTACCAATAGACTTCAAGACCTCATTTTCCACATAGTGTTTCCCCTAACAGTACACATAAAGAGAGGTAACCTTTATAAAGCACACCTGGCTATTCCAATCAAGCTCTTTAGAGCTTATATCCAAAGAGAAAAAAGGTGCCTTGGTGCCCTTTCCTGGCATTTATCAGCAGAAAAATATAAGCTTGTGCCATGGAGAAGCCAGAAGACTCGCTTAGGAACACGGAAGTGACCTGGGGTGACTGCCGTAGCCAGAGACCCTTGTGTATTTCTCATTTTTAGTTTATGCAGGACTTGAGCAGTCTCGTCTCTGTGAAAAAACCGGAAATCAGTGAGGGTTAGAGTCGCCTTCTCAGATCAAACACAGGTCAGGTGAGCCCAAATGTTTCTGACTCTAGAGCCCATGGCCTCTCCCACAGTGCATTATATGTGTTACCCTGGTAGAATTTGAACTCAGATGTGTATGGCTCTGAAACCTGCGTGCACCTTTACCATGACCTTCTTGGAGTAAGCCTTCTTTTTCAGCCACTAAAGGCCAAGGGCACCTGGCCACAGCTTAGGCATGGCCAGCTCCCCTCCCAGTGGGGTCGGGGGCTGTGGTGGGTCGATGGAAGTGGTAGGAGCTGATATGCCTGTGGGACCTCTTTGAAAATTCATTCATTTCCAGGTTTATACATATTTTAGTGCTCACCCTGTAGCAGACTTTTACTAGGGCTAGTAATAAAAGCAGGAAGCCAAACAAGAAGTTCCTGCTTTCAAAGAATGTCCCTTCTAGTGGGAGAAAGGCAGTAGCATAGATGAACAGATAAATCATGTGATCTCAGGTAGTGTAACGTCATGTGCTATAAAGAGGATAAAGCAGTGGGACGGGGAGTGAGCGCAGTATTTGGAGAGAGCAGTTGCTATAGGTCTCTCTGAAGCTACAATTGAATAGCCATGAAAGGGATGAAGGAAGGAGCCACAGAAGTTAAGAGGTAAGAGAAAACAGAGAAGTGAGCTTCTAAGGCACCCTGGGAAGTGTCAGGAGGTCAGGGCAGTGGGAACAGTACACAGAGGGCAGAAGAGTGGGCAAGGATGTTGAAGAGGACCAAGAGTGAGATTTTATTCCAAGTGTATGGAGTTGGCATTGTAAGGTGAGGAGCTTAATCACATGTTTAAAGGACCACTCATGTAACTGCTTGATGACTAGACCAAGGATGGGTGAGAGAGAGGCCCAGTGGAGAGGTTGCTGAGGAAGTCCAGGGAAAAGACAGTGG